AAATGTAAGGTGAATATATATTGTAGATATATCTATATTTATTATGTAATATTGACAAAAGAAATGAACATTGCTTAACATAAAAGAAATGAAGAAAACATCTCATAGCTAAAATCATATGCTATTTTCGTATTTGGAATTTTTTTCCAGGAATCCCTGAAAAGAAATGGTAAATGTTGTGAAATTAGAAAATAATTGTATAAATCTGTAAATATTAAGTGGGTTGGATGATACAGTTTATAAATGGAAATTTAACATTAATTTTTAGTCTTATTAACAGTTTTTATGACATTATTTTATTGACATCAAACAATTTAGTAATTCAAACTAAAAAGCAGTAAGCATCATTTCTATTACATTGAACACATGATGAAATATAGTACCATATTCTAATTGTAAGTAACTTACTGAATGATTTAAATATGCGTAAATATATTTTTTATAAAAGAATTATAGATAGATTCGTCGTAGAATCTTAACAGTTCTTTTTATTTAAAATATTTCACATTCCTCTTCTTATATAAGCCCATCAATAAGTTTAATTTTGATTCTTAAATATTAGTTTAATCCCTGAAAATTTAATTATCATCGTTTCAGAAGATCAGAATCTTGTCAAAACTAGTTCAACCTCTACTGTACCATGTAGATTTTCGGACAATTACGATTTACATAACAGAAATAAAGTTTCTACTGTTCAACCTTCCGAGAAGCTTAAATGGTCTGATAGTGATAATTATTATTTTCCCAATGCTTTACAACCATTTCAGCCTGCTTTATCAGGATGTTTATGCTTAACCCAGAAATTTTAATATAAATAATATCAATTCAAATTTTAAAAGCTTCAAATCTCCCATAGTAGTGACTTTAAAAATGTAGTTATCAGAAGAACAACGTTCAAGATCCTACGAAAATTATTTATTAACTAATTTACATATTTTGGAATTAAGCAATATGTAGTTCATATGTTGTGACCTTGAATGACCTTCATTTGTAGATCATTGTATCCATCTTAAAAGGCTTTGTTAGAATGTGAATAAAAATTTAGGTTACCCCATTTAGATAAACAAGTTTGTCTGACACTATTTTTTCTATTGTCAAAAACAGTGAAGTTATTCAAGTGTCTCGTTTCAAATGACCCATCCTGTATACTTTCTTTAATTATTGAATTAGTTTATCATAATAATAATCATCTTTGACTATGCTATTCTCTTCAATATTGTTACTCTTATTTGGAATTTCAGTAACTTTATATACAAAAATATGATATAATAAGAAATATATTATAGTTTTTTTTATTAATATTGTTTATTATGCATGAGAATAGTTTATTTAATGAATAGAACTGCCACAACTAAAATTCCATTTCAGATCATATACAATGTGTGTGTAATAAAATAAAATCTAATATATATGGTGCTTAATTAAAATGTAAGGAATACTATAAGAAGAATATTATTATTAAAATTAATACCAATTTATTTCAGGGTTTTATTTTAGTCCCGATGAACCCACAGCATTGATACAAGCAGAAGGAGGACCTTGTGCAGTTATAGCTCCCGTTCAAGCTTTCATTTTAAAACAGTTGCTATCTGAAGCTGATATTTCTACTTGGAGAAATATAAGTTCTCATAAATGTTACCAACTTCTTGTTCGAGCAGCTGTCGAAATTCTGAAGCAAGCTGCAGGGGATAAGGTCCCAAAGTTTTCTATTGTGTATATGAATTGTAAATTTCCAAATGAAGAAAATGAAGAAAACTGTAGATTGTTTGAAAATGCATCTAAAATCCATAACGAAGAAGAAGGAATAAATTTGGATAGAAAAAAAAACGATCAAATGAGTGAAAAAGTGTTACCCATGGAAACAGACGAAGAACATAAGGGTGTAAATTCTGATGACTTTCATTCTCATTTGAGGTAATTACATTACTTCTACTATTCTTGGAAAAGCAAATATAACGATGTCCCGGAGGTATGTTTGATTGATTAAATAAATAGCTTCAATCATCGTTAAATGTATAAATGTGATTTCTACATTGGAAGATTTATTATCAATGTAATGACTAGATTTTGTTTAGACATCGATATTAGATTTACAAAAAATCTTCTTAAGAAGATGTCTATATATTATTCAAATGTATGCATTTGTATACAACCTTACCAAACTAGATATTATGTGTGTAAAATGTACCAATAATGTTGCATATTTTATAAAATGATACACTTTTTTCTAGGTTATTTACAACGAATTTCTCGGAACAGGTGGAGGAATTCCTTAGAGAGAGACTGGACACATTGAAACGACAATATGGTGTCTTACTGCTTCTCTATAGTGTAATTGTTACGAAAGGTGTGCCAGAAATTCGTGTTGAAATGTCGGACCCTTTAGAATCAATGATTGATCCAACTTATGGGTATGGAAGTCAAAGCCTTATAAATTTGATGCTCACTGGGAGGGCAGTCAGCCATGTATGGGATTATGATCAAACCATTGGAGAGCTCAGTAAGACATCTGTTTTATGCTGTACCTAAATTAACATGTTGATATTCTAATTGTTACTGCACTATTACAGTTCATAAAAAGACAAATCTAATGATTTGTCAAATGTTTTCTGTACTGTATTTTCTCATAGTTTATGAGAAAATTGTAAACCTTCCATCACCTAAATATGGATATCAACCAATTAAAAAAATGTATTTAATATTTTTCGATATATTAAACACAGAAATTATCAACTATGTGATCTCTCCTATTAGCCAATGTTTATAACTGAAGTAAATTAACTAATGATCCGATTGCTTGCATTTCTTATAGAATATTATACTGTTGTATTTTACTAATTACAGTATCTTTTTTTAAAGAGAACAGTTGAGATCAAAATAGCAGCACATTCCACTTCTATGTTGCAAACCTAAATTAATAGGAGTGGGATGGATAGCTGATATGACATCAGTTAACTTTTTTCAAGAAATAGATAGTAATATTGATTAAAAACCATTTAATCAAGTAATCTACATATGAAAGCTGTAGCTTATTTAATGTTTCCAGAATTGCGAGGCATAGACAAGCAGAACCCAATAGGATTTCTTGCCCTACTCGAACATCTTCGTTATTGTGAAGTGGGTACATTTTTAAAATCACCATCCAATTCTATTTGGGTGTTGGGTTCGGAGACACATTTAACTGTGCTTTTCTCTACCGAAAAGAGGTTAGTGAGTCCTGACACGCCCGCAGAACATGCAAAAAGAGTATTTAGAAAATTTGATCACGAAGGAAACAATTTTATCCCCGACAATTTGTTACAAGATGTTCTTGCTGAGCTTGGATTAGTGGCAGATGCAGAATAGTAAGTATTATGCATGTAGTGTATTTTATATTGCGTAGCACCTACATACTGTACACAGAAGAGAATTAATATGATTTTAGTCCAACATTAAACAGTGTTTGTTTATGAAACCAACATACGTGTTGAAATTTGGCTAAAAAGTACTAAAAGAAATATATCTTTATAAAAGTATACTGAATACTTTTAAATTTACTTTATTATTTATTTATATATACATATATATACGTAAAAAGTAAAAGTAAATTTAAAAGTAAACCAAATCTTCAAGGATTTTTGGTGTTCTATATGTATAAACTGTACCGCTATGCAGTAAAGACACCACACACTTTTTAAATTGATATAACTTTTTTGAAACTGGTCTAAATGACTTAACTTTTTTTGTAAATGTTAGAGGAGCTAATTCACTGTATAATGACTAAAATACATTTTTCCTAATTTTGCTATTATTTGAAATACAAAAGAACTCTCGTTTTTTCATTTTTTTATTTGAGCCTATAATGAAATTTAAAAAATGCGTTTGATACTTCTTGGGAGCTTATATACAGGGTGTTACGCCTAACTGAGAACAGTGAAATATCTCGAAATAAATCGAAACTACAAAAACAATGTATATACAAAAAGTGTTCAGTATAAAGAGATGCTTTAGGTAATATCAATAATTTTTTTATTGACATAATGGTGAATAATATTTCAAGGTCAAGTTGATTTTTTTAAATGAGAACATACATTTTTTTAGTCATATTACGATAGCTGGTTTCAGTACGAATACAATGTTGTATTGTTTCTTTCAGATAATCGTAAATTAGAAGCAATTAAATTAGCAACAGCAGGAGGAGGAGGATTATGAAAGGTGTAAGGAAACACACAAAGGTTCGATTTCTGTTCACGTTTAGTGCAATGTTTACGTGTTGTTGCTGTCGCCTAATGCAGATGCAACGAGGCATAAATAATACACTGACAATGAGCATAAACAAAAGACGAATTTTTCTGCGTTTCCTTATGCCTTTTGTATTTTCAATAATCAGTCTAAATAGTATCTTTAATAGAAAGTGAAAAAATCTAAAGCGTTGAGTGTGTGAAAATGTTTACTCTATAGGAAAAAATCAAAATAAGTTTGACTAAGTGGTGACGATTTTAATTCATACCGACAAGTGAGGGACGAATTTCATAGGCGACATCTGAAAAAACTAAAACCTGCAATTTCAGTAATACATACAATCGTAGATGTATTTCACCAAACCGGAATCCTTCTACGGTAACCAAGAAAACAACTGAAACTAAGCCTGAGAACAACGATTTGGCTGGACAAGATATCAGAATAACATGTCAATCGAGATAGTAATTCCGTCCGCCTCTCGCTGTTGCAAATTTAATTGCTTCTAATTTATGATTATCTGAAAGAAATAATACAATATTGGATTCGTATTGAAACCAGCTATCGTAATATGACTAAAAAAATGTATGGTCTCATTAAAAAAAATCAACGATCTTGAAATATCATTCACCATTATATCAATAAAAAAATTATTGATACTACCTAAAACATCTCTTTATACTGAACATTTTTGAAATAAACATTATTTTCGTAGCTTCGATCTATTCCGAGATATTTCACTGTTCTCAGTTAGGCGTAACACCCTGTGCATGTTGAAAACTTCATTGAAATGGGTTGCCCCATAGTCAAGCTACATGTAAAAATTACCTATTTCTGGTTGAAATTCATGAAATATGCGATTTTCGTGATCTTTAATTATTCACAGCTTATATCAACATGTATCGATTTCCACGAAATTTTCAGCATCTGTTATTGAAGCACAAGTTACTGAAAAGTACCAAATGCATTTTTCAAATTTTCATTATAGGCTCAGATAAAAAAGTGAAAAGACGAGAGTTTTGTTAAATTTTTTTATTCCAAATAATAGCAAAATTAGAAAAAAGTATTTTAATCATTGTACAGTGAATTACTAGTATTTATTACTATTATTTACAAAAAAGGTCATGTCATTTAGATCAGTTTATAAAAGATATACCGTTTCAAAAGATGTGTGATTCACCGTGTTTCATAGCAATATACAATTCACAAAATTTAATCATTTAAACATGTTGTAAACGGTTTTAGTATTTAAATAACTTTTCAAAATGAATTTTGATTTTTGTTAAGTTGTTTTATGTCCTTGTGTAGCTTATATTACAATTAAAATTGACTTTTATTTAAAGTTGATAAAAATGATAAAAATAACTTTACATCAAGTTTTAGGAGATTGTTGCAAAGGAGAAGATACAATCATCAAAAGTTATAACCGGATACAATGGTAAAATGTGCTCCCTAACCAAATTGAGTTTTTTTTAAAGGGGCTGGGAATTAATGGCATGGAACATCAAAATGGCGAGCCCTTGCAATCCTTATATTGCATACCGATAATTCCGAGCCCAGTTCCAAAAAAGAATTCAAATTATTTAGTCCAGTTTAAAAAAATGATGTCCACATATATTTGTCCTCCACGTATCTGGTGCCGTGACAGCTCCAATATGAAATTAATATTATTAGGTTCCCGGACTTCTTAACAAATTCGGGGTGTTGTGCCTCATTAGGTAGGAAAATTATGAATTTTTTCATAATTTGACCGTTTACCAGACCAAAAGAAATAAATCATAGTCCGATAATTCAATTTAACCCTGTAACTACTATTGTGACAGGATTAGTAACTTGAAACTTTGCTCTGAGGATTTTACTTGAGTGGTCTGTTGTATGGTCTGAAAGCCTAAACAAAACTCAGTTTGGGTGGGAGAACATTTCCCATCTATTTGGTTATACTACCTCTTATGGTAGACTTAGTCACGAAAAAAATGTTTTCCAATATTTCCCACCTGCTATATTATGAAACAAATTTTAACAAAAATGAAGCATAAATTACGAGAATAGACGCTTCAAGTTTTAAAATTAGCCTAAGCCAATAGCATATTGCACAAAATTGTAACAATTAAATACCGTCAATCTTTCCGAAATAAAAAATTGATGGTATAAGTGCTGTAAATTGTCCCCAATTGTCCTTCAACTTGTAAACAAAAATGGACAATTTTGGAAGAGGAGACACGATTATTCGAATCTTCGGCTCGTTCTTATAGTTACCGGTTGTCAATAACTATAAAACGAGGCGCAAGGCTCGAATAATCATATCTTCTCTTCCCAAATTGTCCATTTTTGTTTACAAGTTGAAGGACCATTGGAGAGAATTTACTATACTTTTATGAGTTATTATGTAATATATGTGGTAGAATAGCCAGAAGTACCCATCGCTGACCATGTGTACACTGTGCCGTGCATTCTGATACTAATTATGTAACGTTACGACGCTATTAGTTTTGGATTTTGAAAGTACGGCACCGCCATAGTTACGCAGAAATGCTTGGTCGCTTTTTAAGTTCTGACAATAAGTGTTTTGACCAAAAGCAATAATAACGAATTAATTTAAGAAAACGTAATTATTTGCACCTCAAATGCTACGACAAAGGCAAAAAAGTCTTGGCAACTTAAAATTATATTGAGTAAATGCGCGATACATAATTAATGTTTTAGTTTATTTTTTTGAAAAATACAGTGAACAGAGAAAACGATGCTTGAAAAAAAGTATTTGACCAAGCGAAATCCTAGAGAAAAGTATATAATTTGCTTTATATTCGCAGTATCCAATATTTTAAAATGTTTCTACGTGTGTATATATCTGATTTTATACAATTTTCCATTTCATTGATGAAATTTTTCCGCACGATAACAGCCCAGGCGCAACATTAGGTAGACTTAGGAGTCAGCCCTTTCTACCAACACGTCGCAAGGCACCATTAACAGTCACCGTCGCGATGTGCGACTGTATATGTATATTTGCACTTTACCGGTGCTCGAAAGGAACGTGGCGTTCGAATTGTCCGTTGCGGGCAGGCGTTTCGTGGTCGGGTCAACGTTCAGCGACGATGCGTGTTGTTTTTCACGGCGATTTTCAACGTCGCCGATCAAAAAACTCTGCGACTTCGTTCGGATTTATAAATTGGGTATACATCGTCCGGTAAAACCGCGATTAGGCCTCAACATGTCGCGTATTTACTCAACATATTTCCAATTTGAAGTTACTGAGACTTTTATACAGTAGAGACTCTCTCTCTCTCTCTCTCTCTCTCTCTCTCTCTCTCTCTCTCTCTCTCTTCAAACGTTTATTTTTGTAATATCCTATTATCAGAACATTCCATAATCTAATAATTTGACGTTCAAGTTCTCTATTACATGATAATGTATCTAAGTAATACAATGATTTGGATACCAGAATATTGTAAGAATAAATGTTCGAATAAGAGAGTCTCTATTGTATTTATGTCGTAGCATTTGAGGTGTAAACAATCTCGTTTTCTTAAATTAATTCGTTACTATTGCTTCTGGCCAAATACTTATTGATGGAGGTTGTAGATTCTTTTGTACTCTGAATTGTTGAGTTGTGGGAGGCGTTTAACCCTTTCATGGGCATAATGTGAATTTTCAAGATGGCAGACATTTCAACGGTGGGAATGTTTGAGCTTGGTGTCCATATGCGCACTAAAAGTGTGTGGGAAGCTTAGTTCCCAGTGTCTATGAAAGGGTTAAAACATCTCTAATTTTGTTAGAGCACCCTTGTGCTTTTAAAGTTGTTTCTCATCTTCTATATTAAGAAAACATTCTTGAACAATCAATAGAATAATTAATTCTATTTATATCTTATCTGTAATAATCATATACTTATAAAGTTAGAATTGGAAGGAATTTAAAAGAATTATTATTTAGAACAGACTTGGGTATTAACTGTCCACCACGGCCGATTTTTAGAGGCACCTATACTCTATTGCTCGTTGCATATCTCGCTCTTTGTGGTGACTCTTGAGCTGGAAGTACTTCTGGCCTATCGTCACATGAATCGCGCACGGTGTATCAAGGCGACATTCGTATATGTATGTATAATAGAAATAGATATAGATTTTTACATAATCCATAAGATACTAATATTGCTGCATCTGGGTTAACAGTGTTATTCCACGCCAAATCGATCATTTTTTCCCTCAATCTCTGGGATTTTGTTCAGACTGAAATATGATATAGTCCATATGATATTGGCGAGGAGGGGGGCGGAAGGGTAAAGTTATTAGTTTGTGAGTTTTGAATTTGTTAAAAAAATACATACCCCTGAAATTTATGATGTTTGCAGATTTTGGTGAGAAATGAATGGTACTTAGGAATTTTTATCTCAAAAACTATTTGTCGTATCGAGATGCGCTTTTTTCGGTGTATGTACTTGGGAAGGATCCGCCTTCCTAAATAAATTTTAATTCGATTGAAACATTGTTTTTACAACGTTGAAAATGACAAACAAATCCTTATCTTTTAAATATGGGTTTGATGTCGGGTTTTTAGAAAATCGAAAAAAATACTATCGTATTCCTTGGACTTCTCTCTACAAAAATTTGTATGATGGTGCGACCCATGTTAAAGTCATAATGAAGCGCCAAAGATGGCGGTGCGATCCCTCGCAGGTAAACGGATCACGCGCTCCGCTGTGAGGGTGGCGAACCGAATCACTCATATTACTGCAATAAAATCTAAAAACATAATTGGCAAGGCTCACAATCACCAGTATAGTGTTATTTATATCTGCAGAAAAATTTTACTAACCTACTCTTGGCAAATGATTTGACTTGGAATGACCTCTGTAGACATATTCCAATTTGTCACTTTGGAATTTTTCAATACATTGGATGAATCATCGTACCTTAATTTAAAAAATTCCGCGGACTGAATTTTCTCCATATTCAAATCGACCAATTTCTGCAAACACTCGTTTTTGAAAATTCATAGCATTAAGATGGAACAGCTCACATAGGTGAACGCTTCTTTGCTTTCGTCTGTGATACGAACAGCGACGTCCAGCTTTCCTGTTGATGTTGTAAATTTACGTAGCACATCCAAACCTGCACGGAAATGATATCTAACCAAACCAAACTGAAATGAAATTTTGATATTTTTCAAATTTAGGAGCATTTTTCAAACTTTTTATAAAGTGACAAAGTGTAATAGGTTTTCCAGGGATACCACTGACAAAAGAAACACATTAATAATAGTATTTTATGGGTGATGTGGGAATATATTATATTATCTATTTCTATTATATTCAAATGTTGTTCTGATACGGCACGCATGATTCATGTGGCATGCGCCTGAGATGCCTCAAGCATTAGGGCCGCCACTCCATTGAGAACGAGATGCACAGCGGAGGACAGAGGGTGGTGCTTCTGAAATCGACCGTGGGTGCAGTTAAATCTCGAGTCTGGTGTAGAAGATATTTATAAATGGTACACTATTTACAAATTGTTTAAACTAAAAATAATATTATGAAGTATAATTTATTTCATTTGCAGTGTTCACATAATGAAGAAGAAGCTGGATAGTGAAAATTTAGGAATTATTTTGCGTTCTACTTTTATGGATGAATTCTTTCCTGAAGAATCACAAAATTGTCCCGATATATTTCCCTTATATCATTACAATGGTCTTCGGCGTAGCAATGAGGAAAGTAAAGTGATATATCGTAAGGGGCAAGCGGTTTTATTAGAGTGTACCATAAAAGGTATTTTGGAAAGTAATCCTATGTTGACAGTACTGCAAACAAAATGGCCGAGGATTGAAGTGCAGTGGGATATTGGGCAGAATCCAAGTCTTAATTAGTAAGTGTTGCTCAGATTTTGTTTTATACAATATTATTGGCACACTTGCGTACGCGAAAGTGATCACTCGATAGAAAATTTATGGAAAATATCGATTATTTGTATGTAACGTATACCAATATGTGCTTATGTTGAAAAAATTAGAATTGTTAAATTAGAACGCCAATTTTGAACGGACAAGATGTATCAAAATCATTATGTAGCTTTTGTTATTAATCATCAATGTTAAAGCTTAAGAGTTTTTATCATTTTTAATAAATCAGTTCACTTTTTTAAATTAAATTCAGAACAAGAAAGAATACAGAAAATATATTGTAATATTGGTATTGTAATGATTATAATATTACAATTTTTTAAGGGATTTCAAAATTTATGCGACACTAACAAATTGTTTCACCATCAAAT